GGATCGAGTCCCACATCGGGCTCCCTGCTCAGCAGGGAGTCTGCTTCTCCCTCTGACCCTACCCCCTCTTGGGCTCTCTCTCTCTCTCTCACTCTCTCTCTCTCTCAAATAAATAAATAAAATCTTTAAAAAAAAAAAAAAGAATCAGCAGGGCTCTCCACCGACATTCATCCTTCCCTGGGCAGCCAGGGGCATGTGGGTAGTACAGACCTGAGGTCAGGAGAGGGAGGAAGATGAATATTATTTCCCTGCCCTCCTAACACAAGCTCTCCACCAAGGCAACACCACCCCACTCCCATCCTCCATATCTAGGGGTCCTGGAAAAAGTACAGTAGTACTTGCTTGTTATCTTCTTCCACAATGACTGGGGCTTCAACTGCTCTTTAATGGGAAAGAGGAACGGTGCTAAATGTTCCCACAATGAACAGGACAGTCCCATATGGTGAAGAAATATCCCACCAAAAAGCCATCTGTGTGCATGTTGAGAAACACAAAAAGTCCCATGGTAGAGTTTGGTGTTTAGAGAACCCCGTGTCACTACACCAGCCCATGAACAAGAGAGGCGCTCAGCTGTTTCATGTCGATCCACGTGGAGACTCCTTCTGGCTGCACCAGGCTTCCACCATGAGAGCCCCCATGATCACCACAATTATGGCAGCCAGACCCAGTCGGATGAGGTTGCCCATGATGTAATCCCCCGACGTGGCATCTGGGGGAGCTGAAAGAGAGAAGAGGGTGAGCACCAGCTGGAAAGGAGCATCCCTCCTTCTCACGCGGATCTGCCCAACGTGACTCTCCTGCACCTGCTTGTGTTTCCTGGACAGAGGTCAGCTGTACCTTCACTGACGTTGTAATCACTCAAAACACACGTGACATTTCCTGAGAGTTGTAGTGGGTCTTCCTTTGTCTCCTTTCTATTCGTTCTGCCGTACCGCTCTTCCTTCATTTCTTTGCTCTTCATCTCATTTCCTGCCTCCCACACTGCCCTTTCCCCCTTCTCCTTCCTTGTAGTAGGAATCAGGCTTAGGAGCAACCCCAAAACCCAAAGGTGCTGCACGGAGAATGAAAGTAGTTCAGGGCTCCGTCTGCTCCCCTCCTCAGAGCAAAGGCTTAGTGCAGCCAGTGAGCTCAAGAAAATTCAAGCTTAGTAGCTGAGCATCGGAACCACCAGGCATTTCATTTCAGCTTCACCCAAGAAGAGTTAGGGCTCACCACTGGCCCTGACTCCTAGACAGAAACTGTACTTGAATCTTCCAGCTCACACGTGCCATGAGTGCAGAGTTCATGTCTGAAGACATCAGCAACAATGCTCCCTGGAGACATAGTCCACGGGGAGAGACATGTGATGACCCCACCAAGCCCAGGATGCCCTCTGCATCCCTCAGCAGCCCCCGCCCGGACCTTGCTTTCCAACTACAGAACGTTCGCTAACCATAACACACACGCAAACATTTACACCACCGAGGAGCAGGGTGTAGCATCCAATGAAGCAAGAAGATCAGTTTAGAAGATACCACGTCTATGCCAGAAAAGTGGGCGGCTGGGGGAGCACCGTGTTCTAAGAGTGAGAAAGGTACCGCCATGAAGTTGCCATCAGCAGGATGTCCCACAACTCTAAGTGACGCCCAGGGTGGCAGAAGGGGCTCTGGTGGTGGCGGGATGGATCGTTTGGAAGAACAGCCTGAGACATTCTCCAAGAATGCAAAGCAACAAACACCAAAGACTAGAAACTAGGAAAGGAGAGATTAAAAAGGAGATGCTCGGGAAAGTGAAGGAGAAACAGGAATCAGAAAGTAACAGAAGAAATGCTCGCCAGTTTAAAAAAAAAAAAAGACTCACACCTTAAACTAATACAGTGTTATAAGTCGGTTATAGGTCAACAAAACAGGAGAAAGAAAATAAATAGCCAAAATAAAAACAAACTCATGAATTAATTAATTAAATTTTTAAAACGTCCTAAGAATCATGCAAAACTTCACCTGTCACCCGGATCTCAAGATGATCACTAGGCTGTGAGGTCAGGAAGGGAGGCCTCATCAGAAAGTACACACAGCTGTAGTTCCCGGCATCACTGACTGTCACAGTCCGGAGGGAGAAGTCCGTCTCCTTCCCTGCAGGACTCTGGACCCGTATGGGCTCTGCTGCCCCCGCCTTCAGTAGAGCGAACATTACAGGCGCGAAAATATTGTCTGGCCTCTGGCACTGCAGGGTCACGGTGTCTCCTGCGGTCACCTCACCCCTTTGGTGGGCTTGGAGGGAAGGTTTTGTTAAATCTCCTGGAAGAGAAGGAGGGCTCCACGGTCATGGGGAGAAGCCCGGGGTCCCCCACCCTCCCTTGTTCTCCTGGCAGGGGTTCCCGCCAAGTGGGCGAAAATGACAGATCCCTGGTCTCACCCTCTTTCCACTCTGACTGTGGGAAGATTTCCCCAACAAGCCCTGGATGAAGCTGAGCCAGGTCATTCTGTTCTGTGTTTCTCCATCTCCCCTCGTTCCCTCCCTCCCTCGGGTTCCTCCCGCACACCTGTCCCTGCAAGACCCTATGTCCCTCCGAGGCACCTCCTCACCTGTCACCAGCAGTAGGAGGACGTCACTGGGCCGCGAACTTACGTACGGGCTCCCTAGTCTGTAGTACTCACAGCTGTACTCTCCAGCATTGTCGGTTTTTAGGTCAGTGAGGTGAAATTCAGCCAGGCCCTCTGTGGAAGCCCGTGATTGCACGGACTGCAGTGGAACTTTTCCCTTTCTGAGAACAAAGTTGACATTCTTGGTAGACGTTTGGCACTGCAGTGTCACATTACTCTTGTGAGGCACCACCGAGCTGGGCCAGGCCCTGAGGGAGGGCTTGGGAAGGGACTCTGGAAGGAAGCAGATTTGGGGACAGGATTTGGTGCCCTCGTCTGCTGTCAGGAAGCCCCTTGAAGGAAAGAGACAGGACACGGGGACTTTGGAGTGAAGGGGAGGGAGGGTCTGACTGAAGGAACTCACCGTCAGTTGTCCTGCTTCCTTGGCCGGCACACAGCCCTGCGGGAGAACCGTCCATGAGACCTGAGCATCCACCTGGAGCCCCGTCCTGAGGGGCCTCCCCGGGGGCTGCTGCTGAGCTCGGACCCTGGAGGTCATGCATCTGGGGCTTCTCATTTCCCCACACTGGACTGTGGCTGCAGCTGTGCTCTCGGCTCCTTCCCCACTCTCCCAGAAGGTCTCCTGTGCGGCTCACTCCTCCCACAGCCCCAGGACCTGTCCTGGTTCCGCAGATGTTTACAAGCCCCTCTCTTCTCAGCTTCTGTCCTGAACCACTCTCAGTCTTGCATTTCTGTCAAGCTGACGTTACCATCTGTGGACCCCCCACTTCACCCTGGGGGCAGGAACCATGAGCAAGATGTTGTGGGAGCACAGGACTTAAATGTGACCCTAACCCACCTCTGAAGTTATTTGAGACCCTGGGTGGACCCGAGGGTCTGCTGACAGTCTCGCCTGTGCCAGAAGAACCCTCCTGCTGAAGGCTGCTTGGTGCTTTGACTGACATAAACTAAGATAGATACCCTTAGTTTGTAATTAAGAGAGCTCAGAAGCTATGGACCTCATACCGTGGGAGACACAGGATGTCACTGCCTGTGAGCAGTCAAAGGCAGAGACTTTGTGAACAATCCCAGCATCCCCACTGTCTGTGCACGTCCTGGCACATAGTAGGACCTCAACAAATGCACACTGACCGGCTGACGAGATGCCCCGCGTAATCACAGCTCAGCTTTTATAAGGATGAGAAAAGATGCAACCTCACCCTAACTTCCCCATCTTCCTCCCACCAGGCCAGCTCCATTTCCAGACCTCACCAGGTCACCCATGTCCACTTGTGAGTCAGGATTGGCTCAAAGATGGAGCGAGCTCTCTCCCTGGACGAGGCTAGTTAAGTCAACCTCAGCCTTTAATCTGATGACTTTCTGATCCCATCTTTGCCATAATGTCTTTTCATCTTTTGGTGTTCCAACTAGGACAGAGGTTACTGCTTGGTCCTCTAAAACAAGCCTCAAAGAATCCACATGGATATCCCAGAAAGGGGAAAACCTACCTCTTCCCCTGTCCCACACATGGGTCCATCTGTAGGGTACCCCAACTCAGTTGTTCTCAACCTTGGCTTCACATTGCATTTTCCTAGGGGGCGGGGGCAGTTGAAGATCCCAGGGCACAGACCAAACCACAAAAGCCTTGAATCACAATCACTTGGGTTAGGGCTCAGGCACCAAACTTTTGAAATCTCCTGGGTGATACAAGTATTCATCTGAGTAACCAAACCTAGAAAAACATTTCTCAAGACTGTAGCATAGATATTTGAAATCTGGTGGCATAGAAAGAAACTTGCAAGTGATGATAGTGGTTATGTGCATCTCTGACCAACACAGACATCCTGCCATTATTACCCAAATGTGGTGGTTACAGCTTGCCTGAGTTCTAAGATCTCTTTAAAAATAACATCAAGCCTGTTTACAGAATTTATTGGAAGAGAGAGCTTGCTCTAATTCCACAGACTGATTGGATCTGTGTTTCTAAGAAATTTACTTTTTTTTTTTTTTGCCTGTGTGAAACAGTTTTGTGTCTTAGTAGTGAAAAGGGGGGAAGTTACCAGGCCCTTGTGCTAAAATTGCATAGGCCAATCAAAAATATTACACTCCATGTTTTGGAAAAGAAAAGTGATAAATAGCCAAAAGGTGAAAAGACCCAAGTGTCCACCAGAGGATACATGGATAGAGACCAGGTATGTGGTCTCTGTAGACAGGGGAATATTATTATTCCATAAAAAGGAATGGAGGGGCTCCTGGGTGGCTCAGTCGTTAGGCGTCTGCCTTCTGCTCACGTCATGATCCCAGGGTCCTGGGATCAAGTCCAGCATTGGGCTCCCTGCTCCGCGGGGAGTCTGCTTCTCCCTCTGCCTGCATCTCCCCCCTGCTTGTGCTCACATGCTCTCTCTGACAAATAAATAAAATCTTTTTCTTTTTTTTAAGGAAAAGGTTAATCTCACTGACGTGAGGAAGATCAGGAACCTTCAAAAGGTGGAAACAAGCCAGGTGACCACCGACAGGTGGGTGGATAAACAAAACGTGATCCATATATAAGCAGAATAGTACTCAGCCATAAAAAGGAATGAAAATCTCATCCACGTGCCCAGGGAAGATCTCTGGAAGGGATGCTAAGTGGAATTAGTGCCTAACTCAGCCAGAGGAGAATGAATGATGCAAGGAATAATAAACATAAAAAGATCATTTTTGGAGCATGGACTGGCCACGCATGCTTGAACCTGGTTATGAAAGTAATTCTGAAAGACGAGGGAACTTGTAACTACGGACACACGTTCCCCAAGGCCCCACAAGGACTGTGTGCGGGAGCAGAGTTCTCAGAACTCAGTCCTGTGTTCTCTCTCAACACAAAGAGGTGTGTCTTCCCAAGGCAAGCCTCTGATGTTAGGGGTGCTCTAGGGAGGAGCCTGAAGTCTTGGGATCAGAGAACCATGGTGGTTAACAGGAAGACTAGTGCAGAGGGCCACGCGGAGGCGAGTCCTCCTTCCCTGACGTTTTGTGGATATCAAGCTTTGTTGGTTTCTGGAAACCAGTTCATTCTGAGGTACAATTCTAGCATTCTGAAGCACTCCTGTCTACCTCCTCAGGCTTTTTTCAACCCCAGAATCCTTTCAGACATGCCTAGAGTGCTCCATACGATGGACCCTGTGGATCTGTCCCTCTTAATTTAACATCGTGGCTGAGTGGAAGTGTTTTTGGAGCTCAGCAGTCTAGGTTGAGATTTGGCTTCCCTTTGAGATTGGCACAGGTGGTAAACCTGTGCAGTCTGAGGCAAATCTCTTCACTTTGCAGACTCAAATTCGATTCCTCATCTATAAAAGTGGACCTCATTCTCCCTTGCAGGTTTTTTTTTTTTTTTTTGGGGGGGGTGGATCAGAGTGGTATTTCCCAAATGTGGAATACATCCCATCTGTGTTATGTGTGATGATTTTAGGTGGAAGAAAAGACAATCAAAACACGACATGGGGGCACCTGGGTGGCACAGTTAAGCATCAGATTTGGCTCAGATCGTGATCTCAGGGTTGTGGAATCGAGGCCTGTGTGGCGCTCTGTGCTCAGGGTGGAGTCCGCTTGAGATTCTCTCTCTCTCTCTCTCTCTCCTTCCCCCTCTCCCCTCCACTCTTGCGCACGTGCACAAGCACACTCACTGTCCCTCAAATAAATAAATCTTTTTTACAAAAGCACTACATGATCTCATGCAGTAAGCACTGCTGTAGAGTTTCTCATTATGTCACCAAGAAAGCTTATTGAAGCTAGTCTCTGATGTATGTGGATTGTGGCTAATTACCTTTATTTTATTTTATTTTAAGATATTATTTATTTGTCAGAGAGAGAGAGAGTACAAGCAGGGGGAGTGAGAGAGGGAGAAGCAGGCTCCCTGCTGAGCAGGACTCAATCCCAGGACCCTGGGATCATGATCTGAGCCGAAGGCAGACACTTAACCGGCTGAGCCACCCAGGCGCCCCGTGGCTAATTGCCTTTATAGCAAAGAACTAGCAGGTCTCAGGCTCAGAAGCTTGATGGGGACCAGTGTATAGTTACAATATTCTAACATTGTCTCCTTATCACTGCATTTACTTTATAGTTCTTGTATTTGACCTGGGTTTTTATTCATAATGTGGAGAGTTTGTATTGTAAGCACTTTTCTTTAAGCAAAAAAAGCTGAGTCTATATTAAAAGCAAAACCCATTAAGCCAATAAAGTATAGGTAGAAGAGGCATTCAGCAGAAATAAAAAACTCGGAACAAGAGTAATTGAAATTTCCAAAGCATTGGTTTAGAGGTAACGTATGCATTGTACTCAGTGAGATTTCTGATACATAGTATGCGCTCGTTAAACCAAAGCCAATGTTTTGTTTTCTCTTTCCATCCCAGTCCAAACCTCTTACCAATTCTGTTGCTTTCTATGGTCCCACCATGTTGCCCCGGGACACTTACTGAGACAGAGGAGTGACAGTAGCTTGGGTATCATGGCAGCATGTCACTGTCAGCCTCTCCAACACCTTTCTTGGGTTGTACCATCTGCAGGTGAGCGAGGAACTGGGGTGGCCACAGCCTTGCCCTGTATCTAGAGTGTGGGAAGTAACGATTTTTCTGACTTTTTAGTTCCTCCTTCCACACTGCATTCTGAAAACGTTGGTGCTGCTGATTGCAATATATTCCTTACACACTGAGCTTCAAAGGCTTGGCTCACAGAAAGTCCTCATCTGTCTCAGATTTCCAGCATCAAATGTGTGGACCCCCGCCCCCTCCAAATGCCTGAGGCTTGAGCCTGAAGGGTTCTTCCTAGGAGATGAAGGTACTTCACTGTTGAGAATATTGGAAAATCCTGGACAGACACTCAGGTTGCTAGACATTGCCCACTGTCTTTTTTCTTTTAGATTTTATTTATTTATTTGAGACAGCGAGCGAGTGAGCGAGAGAGAGCATGGGGGGGAGGGGCAGAGGAAGAGGGAGAAGCAGGCTCCCTGCTGACCCTGGGATCATGACCTGAGCCAAGGGCAGATGCTTCACCGACTGAACCACCCAGACACCCCAACATTGCCCATTGTCTTAAGAGCTAAGGACTACAGCCAAATAGTTCCTTTTTTTTTTTTTTTTAAGTAAACTCTATGCCCATTGTGGGTCTCAAAACTCACAACCCCGAGATCAGGAGTTGCATGCTCTAACGACTAGCCAGCCAGACACCCCACCAAATAGTTCTTTTACTAACTGTGCCAGTGAGGTTCAATTGCTAAAGCAGACTTGTAGAACCCAAGTATTGTGTGTTGCAGGAGAAGAATACAATATAACAGCTGTCTGGCATTAAACTGAGAGTGTGTACCCCAGGCAAAAAGGATCTCTCTCCTTTCACACAACTTCCTAGATGGACTTTCTGTCTTGAGTCAGGAGTCACTCCCAAAGCCCCTCAGATTCAGGAAACCTAAAACAGATCCTTGGCTGGGGTTTCTTATTCCATGATGGGCATGTGGCAGAGCCCTCTGGAGGGTCATCATTCCCATGTTTACCAGTAAATAATGCTGAGAAGCTGGCACCAAGCTCTCCAGGACCGCTGGGACCCATGGTTACAGAGCAACACTATTAATCATTAGGTTTTATTGCACAAGCGGAGGTCAGTGTCCTGGGATACATTTTCATGTCAGCAGAATAGCTCAGACCAATTCCTGCTGGAACGAACCTCACAGCACCGTACTCGAATAACCATCATGCGTGGGCACAGCGCCAAGTTCTTCAGGATTTGTAGTGACTTTTGTGAAGCCACGGTCTCTATACCCAAAATCATTTTTGTCTCCTGGAAAAGCTGTGTGTGACTCACAGGCTCTTACTTAGCCAGGAAATGAAATTATCAGAAGGTCTGAAATGGGGGCGCCTGGGTGGCTCAGTCGTTAAGCGTCTGCCTTCGGCTCAGGTCATGATCCCAGGGTCCTGGGATCGAGCCCCGCATCGGGCTCCCTGCTCAGCTGGAAGTCTGCTTCTCCCTCTCCCCCCTTTCCCACTCCCTCTGCTTGTGTTCCCTCTCTCGCTGTCTCTCTCTCTGTCAAATAAATAAATAAAATCTTTAAAAAAAAAAAAAGGTCTGAAATGGCAGCTTTCCATTCTTTTTCTCACTGCCCTCACTGATTTTGTCTCTAGGTAGGAAAATGTGTCTCTGCAACTTAAAAATGTAAATCCTGGTTTACCTACATTTTGACCAACTTGCTGAGTTCATGATGCAGGTGAACCAGTGTGCTTCCTGCCAAATCGTATTTGGTGAAATTCGGGCAGCAGGGGCAAATTAACGGGAAATATGTAAAGTGAGGGGCAGCAGGGCAGGTTCCCTTGTGCAAAGACGTAGAGGTGGGAGAGGCAGGTGCAGGAGTTGGAATTCAGCTCTGTCTCAGAAGCCCATTCCCTTTCCAGAAAACCATTTGAAGCTCCCCCAGCAATGGTGAAGATGCCTCCTTGTCTCAGGTTCTTTGTGTGGAAGGGTACACACGAGGGTTTCAGCATTTTGGTTATCTGTTGCTGTGTAACAACATTACCACAAATACAGCAGCTTCAACAACACACCTTCACTATCTCATAGTTTCTGGGGCCAGGAACCCAAGCACTGCTGAGCGGGATCCTCTGTGGGCTGCCGTCACCATATCAGCCAGGGCTGGGGTCTAATCTGAAGGTTCAGCTGGGGAAGGATCCACTTCCAAGCTGCAATGCAATTCTGACATGAACCACCAGAGTTAGCAGACTTCACAGGCTGAGGGTGCAGTGCCCACAAGACTGTCCTCACTGCAGACACTAGTTGCAGGCTCAGGTGTTCCCGAGTCACCTGCACCTCTGAACCAATGACCGAAAATGTTGGAGGGTCCTGCTACTCCTGTCAGGTTCATTAACTTGCTAGAAGCACTCAGAGGATTCAGGAAAGCACTATACTTATGATTATAGTTTTTATTATAAAGGATACAAATCAAGACCACCTAGATGAAGAGACACACAGGGGGGAGTCTGGGAGGGCCCCCAAAGCAAAGCTTCCTATATTCTCAGGATGTGTCACCAAGCAGGAAGCTCCCCAGATGTCCAGAGTTTTCATCAGACTTTCCTTACATAGGTGTGATTGATTGAATCATTGCCCACATGACTGACTCTGTCTCCAGCGCCCTCTCATCCCCAGAGATCAAGGCTGTAACCCTGTAATCACATGGTTGGTCTTTCTGGCATCACCAGCACCCAACCTGGGTCATCTTACTGACATAAACCCAGGTGTGGTACAAGGCACCCACCATGAATAACAAAGATGCTCCTGTTACTCAAGAGATTCCAAGCACTTAGGGATTACCTCCCCAGAGCCAAGGACAAAGATCAGCCAAATTCTTTTTTTTTAATTTAATTTTTTAATTTTTTATTTTTTTAAAGATTTTATTTATTTATTTGAGAGAGCGAGAATGAGAGAGAGAGAGAGCACATGAGATGGGGGAGGGTCAGAGGGAGAAGCAGACTCCCCGCTGAGCAGGGAGCCCGGTGCGGGACTCGATCCCGGGACTCCAGGATCATGACCCGAGCCAAAGGCAGTCGCTTAACCAACTGAGCCACCCAGGCGCCCCAAATTCTTTATTATATGACACAAGCCCACATGGTTGTTGGCAGAAGTCAATTCCTTACTGGCTGGAGACTATTCTCGGTTCCTTGCCAAGTGGGCTTCTCCAAAATGGGGAACTCACATCATCACGCAAGTGCACAATCATAGAAGGCAGGAAAGAGCCTGCTGCCTAGATGATAGTTGTATTCTTCATTAACACGACTGCTGAAGTGACATCCTGTCTCCTTTGCTATATTCTGTAGGTTAGAAGTCAGTCTCCAGAACCAGGGGAGGGGATTACACAGAGGCATGAATACCAGGAGTGAGAATAATTGGAGGTCACAAGCCACAATGAAGGCTCACTCAAGCCCACAAACTTGTGTAAGGTCATGGGGGCAGTTTTGTGGAGAGAAGGGAGTGGGAGCAGAAGAGTGGCAGTCAGGAAAGGCACTGAGCACTTGTCAGGAAGGAAGCAGGAAGTGGGACAACCCCTCTGGAAAACTGTTGACAAGTGTCTAATGAAATGAAGCATACACCTGTTCTTTGACACAGCCGTCCCACTATTTATAATCCAGGGAAAGGCCTGCATATGTGCCTGTGTATACAAAGACATAGCTAAGAGTATTCATGCAACCTGACCCATAGAAACCTCAGCCTGGAAACAACCCAGAAGTTCTTCCACTGGAGAACGGATCAACAAATTGTGGCATGAATGTGCAATGGAGTAATACTCAGCAGTAAAAAGGGAAGAAGGTACGAATGCAAGTAACACCTGGGATAAACCTCAGAAACGACATCTTCGCATGGAAGCAGCCCACACAGAAGAATTCACGTGGCGTACTGTGTGTATATGAGTGCATATGAGGGAGGGGCAAAAGTCATCCAAGGCGATACAAGTCAGAAAAAGGAATGATCTCAGGGGAAGGGTGGTTAGCTGGAGAGTGGCACAAAGAAACCTTTTGGAGTGCTAGAAATACTTTTTTTATTTGGACAGTGGTTATACCAAAGAAGATAGGTAGAGATAAGGTTTGTGCATCTTACTCTATGCAAATGATACCTCTTATTTAAAAAAAATAAATTTTTAGAAGAAGGAAACAAGTCTTCATTGGAGATTTGAGGAAAGGGATCCCCCATTTGCTTAGTGCCTCAGGGGTCCTCTCTCCATCATCCATCCCCTTGTTGGAAGTTCTTCCTTCCCAGGTTCCAGGTGCTTTCCTGGCTTTGCCTTAAGGGTTGAGTACACACAGGTTTCCAGAGGCTGCTCCATTTGGCTGGAGGGACCCTCACTTAGGGCTCTGGTGTTCAGCTCAGCATAAGTCACTCCATGGGGTTCCTCAGCTCTTGAGACCTGGGATGTTTTAATCTCAAGGGAAGCAAGGAGAAAAGGATCAAGTATTCCCTGGAAAGAGTGTTGGATTGTGAAGATTTAGCATTTGTAACAACAGTGTGGTAGACAGCTGTGTTAGAAAGAGCCTCCTGCCCTTTGAGTCTTGGTGCAGTCCCCTACCCTCTTGAAGGTTGGTGGGACCTAGGGACATGCATCTGTCAAACAGAGTAAGTAAAAAGGATGGGCTGTCCTGTGTCTTTGTGTCCAAGACTAGGTGGTGAAAGACTGACTTCTGTCTTGTTCACACCTGTCTATTTTCAGGTCCCTCGCTCATGCTGATCAAGCCAGCTGCTGGGTTACATCTGTCCTATGGAAAGGCCCATATGGTCAGGGTGGTCTCTGGCCAGCAGCCAGCAAGGAACTGAATCCTGCCAGCCACCACCTGAGTGAGTGAGTGAGTGTGGAAACAGATCCAAGCCTGAACCAGCCCTGGCCAACCCCTTCATGCCAGCCCGTGAGACCAATGTGAGTCACACCCAGATGTGACCTGCAGACACCGTGAGATCATAAGTGTTGCCTTAAGCCATTGTGTTTGGGGATCGTTTGTTATGAAACCATAGATAATTCATACAAACAGCCACCAAAGAGAGTGTTAATCTGAGATGTCCAGAATAGGTCAGTCCTTAGGGACAGAAAGCTAGTGGTGGTCAGGGGCTTGAGGTGGGGGTATGGGCATGCAGAGAGTGCTTAAAGGCTGTGGGGTTTCCTCTGGGGTGATGAAAATGTTCTGGAACTAGATAATGGTGATTATTGTACAACATTGTGAATATTCCAACAGTTGCTAACTTGTACAGGTTAAATGGTGAGTTTTATGTTATATGCGTTTTGCCACAATTTTTTAAAAAATTGAAGTGTAAATGAAAAAAATAAAGGGTCACTTGATAACTGCAGGTTGTAGTATGCAGGTACTTCATGGTAGGTAGTTACCATATTTTCATAAATAGCATGAAGAGGTGGAGCACATCATCCCCATTGTCCAGATGAAGAAACAGAGGCTCAGGGTGGGAAAGTCACTGGCCCGAGATTGTAACAGATAGTTTATAATAATAGTAGCTTCAGGGGCACTGAATGCTTACGCCACGCCTGGGATCCTACTGATCATTGTGTGGCTCTGAGCTTATTAAATCATCCCATTCATCCTAGAAAGAAGGTGATGTACATCCCATGTCACATGGGGAAATGTCCCCAGAAAGGACAAGTCATGGGATGAAGGTCCCCTGGCCAGAGAAGGCACAGAAAATTTCAGACCAGATTCTCCTGGAAAGTAGAGCAAGGGTGGGGGTAGAGGAAAGCAGAGGCCCAAACCATTGACAAAACTGGAGGGAGTGACAGAGAGCTTGGGTTGAGGGGATGACGGGAAATGGCCACAGTGGAAACTCACCGAGGCAGGAGAGCAGTTCGTCATAGCTGCAGGTGGATCTGGGAAGGAAAAATTCTGCTGTTGCTTCACCCCCAGGCTCCAGGGGTTAAGTCTGCATGCACGCACGTGTGTGCACACGTGAATACTCATACACACATCCACATGCACAAGAACATGCAAACCACACATGTACACACACAACACACTCATGCACATGTCTACACATGCATGCTCTCACACACATGCACACACATGTTTACATGCATACACACATCCCTGCACACCTACACACGCAGACTCACATCCACGCTCAAATACACAGGCTTACGTGAGCACAAGCAGCACACATGTGTGCACACACACATGTACCCACCACCATTTTCTTTCTCAGGCTGAATACTTGTCCCCATTTCTTCAGGTTCCTTAGAGTGGGACCTAAAAGAAACAGTGAAGCATTAGAGGTAAAGGAAATTGGTAAAGGTAAAAGGAATCGGGATCATTGTGGGTAGGTGGAGGTGAGGTGCCAAGCAAGATCACGTGTAAACCAAAGTCCCGCCCACCACTTATTCGACGCTCACACACCCCTTGCTGGGGTCCCCAAGTCATTCAGGTGCTCAGCAAAGTCTTGAGAGGTGAGGAGGGGAAGTGGTTGGGGGCAGTGTGGTCCATGAGGAAAGGATCCAAGGAAAGAACACTGAGTGAGAAGTGGAGGGTAGTTGTAAGAAGAGAGGATGTGGAGAGACACCGGATGGTTGCTGGGGCTGCTTGGGGCCACATAAAATGTTGAGGTAAGAAAGAAGGTCTTGAATAGTCCAGGCAGCAATGGAGGAAGAGTTAAGTATGGGCAGATGGGATCCTCTGAGTTGCTCTACCGTTTGGTCATCTTGTCCGGAGCTGCCCCTGGGGATAAAAGAGAGACAGGATCAACCCTGTGGTGTTACTTTCCCATTCTATTTCTCCCATTTCCTCCCAAATATTTAGCTGTTGTTTTCCTGAACTCACCACATTGGGTGTATTTGCAGATGAGGAAGGTTCCAAGGAGGAAGAGAAAGATGAAGATGACAATGAGGGTGATCCCAGTGGTCCCTGGGGAGAGGTGAGGGGTTAAACGGGCTCACGATTTCCTGGGACACTCTCTGGTGCCTCAGTGTGTCTCCATCGATCAAGTTCCTACCACGTGCTGGAGAGCTCACTACGTTATTTTCATACTTACAAGTATCCTGGGAGAGAGACAGAGTGATGCACATTTTACAGATGCAGAAGCTGAACGTCAGAGGGTTGAAGTACTATTTCCAAAGTGGCCCAGCTACCAAGGAGGCAGAGCTCTGTCTCTGATCCTCCCCACCTCGGAAGACCTTGCACTGAGCCACAGCCTTCAGGCATCACCAACAGATAGACAGACATCCTCGAGAATTTTCCCAGGTAACTCACAGCTGCACAAGGACATCTCATCCCATGGGTGAATGACTGTATGTCCCAGGAAGCTCTACTCTCTTACCCAGCTCTGTTTCTGCCATCTTGGGAGACTTCCTTTCAGTTTTATCTAGAAGACAGAATTCTTGAGTTAAGTTTTAAATTTAATCAAAAAAAATTTAAAATTTTATTATGTTATGTTAGTCACCGTATAATACATCATTAGTTTTTGATGTAGTGATCCACGATCCATTGTTTTCATATAACACCCAGTGCTCCATGCAGTACGTGCCCTCCTTAATACCCATCACCAGGCTAACCCATCCCCCCTCCCCCTTCCCCTCTAAAACTGTTTCTCCGAGTCCATAGTCTCTCATGGTTCATCTCTCCCTCCGATTTCCCCCCCTTCATTTTTCCCTTCCTTCTCCTAATGTCCTCCATGTTATTCCTTATGTTCCACAAATAAGTGAAACCGTATGATGATTGACTTTCTCTGCTTGACTTATTTCACTTAGCATCATCTCCTCCAGTCCCATCCATGTTGATGTAAAAGTTGGGTATTCATCCTTTCTGATGGCTGAGTAATATTCCATTGTATATATGGACCACACCTTCTTTATCCATTCATCTGTTGAAGGGCATCTCAGTTCCTTCCAGAGTTTGGCTATTGTGGACATTGCTGCTATGAACATTGGGGTGCATATGGCCCTTCTTTTCACTACATTTGTGTCTTTGGGGTAAATACCCAGTAGTGCAATTGCTGGGTCATAGGGTAGCTCTATTTTTAATTTTATGAGGCACCTCCACACTGTTTTCCAAAGTGGCTGTCCCAACTTGCATTCCCACCAACAGTGTAAGAGGGTCCCCCTTTCCCCACAACCTCTCCAACATTTGTTGTTTCTTGCCCTGTCAACTTTTGCCATTCTAACTGGTGTAAGGTGGTATCTCAACTTAATCAAATTTAAATAAAATTTGAAACTCTATACATTATTTACAAAGGCATGTCCATGTAGTAAAAATATATAAAAACATGCACAGAAATAACACCAGCTTCAGGGCAGAGGGTTCTACTGGGAAGGGGGGAAATGATGGGAATCATGTTGAGAAGGAAAGAGGACTCTCTTTTTTTTATCTTTATTTGTGGAAAGAAAACAACTTGGAACAAATATGACAAACTAAACAAGTCTAATTCTGGGTGGCGGATATGGGACTATCTTATTTGATTGTTGTTACTTCTATTAGGTAGTAATTTTCAGATTTCTCAAAAGAAAGGAAATTCTTATCAGTTCTCTGGCTGGTTTGTGGGAGGACGGTTTTCTGAGTTTGGGGTCTATCTAGGGAACAGAATTAAGTAAGATAGGATGCAGAAAGAAAAAGTGAGTGTATTCCGGAAGTGTCCGGACCCCCTCAGGGACCCCAAGACTTGAGTGTAGGCGGGTGTGATCGTTAAATTTATGTGTCAACTTGGCTACAGTACCAGTTACTTGGTCAAATACCAGTCTAGACTGGTTGCCAGGAAGGTGGCACCTGAAGCTAATATAATACTGTATGTTAACCACACTGGAATTAAAATAAAATAAATGCAATCTTAACTAAAATTCATTTTTAAAAACACATGTGATTAACACTGAAGTCAGCAGAGTTTGAGTAGAGCAGATTACTCTCTGTAATATGGGTGGGCCTCATCCAATCAGTTGAAGGCCCAAAGAGAAAGACTGATCTCCTTTGAGGATAAAGGAATTCTGCTTCCAGCTACCTCCAGGCTCAACATCAGCTGTGTCCTGGCTGTCCAGCCCACTGGCTACATGAGTTGCCCAGGGTCACACAGCTAGTGAGTAGCAGAGACCGGGGATGGGACTCTTGCTTAATGTGATGATACTCACCACATCATTCTTCATTGCCTTTACCATCCAGAGCTGTTCTGGCTACGAGTTGACCAAAGCAGAAGAAGCAGACCCCTGAGACCATCTGAAGACCCCACCTCCTCCCCCAGCCCTGAGCTTCCAAGAAGGCAGCAGGCCTGGGAAGTTTGTTCACTCCGGACCACTGTTTCCTCTGTTCCCTGTGGTATCACCTGTAGCTCCTCACCTCTCTGTCCTGTGGAGCCACACCGTCAGGAAGTGGGACACTGTTCGACTCAACCACCTCCTGTCTACTCACCCTCCCCTCCTACCCCCTGCCAGGTACATTCTGCTCTCCTCTAAACCAGAGACTGCATTGATCTCATTCCAACTTTAGAAATGATGAGTAAACCCCACGAGCCATCAGGCTCCTAGGGTCTGGCTCTGAAGAGATCGCTGGGAAACTGGAGACAAATCAAACTTCAGGATAAAAGGGAAAAAAAACCCAAAACACCACAAGTGACCTTGAAGGAAGACAGTACTCTGCTAAGTAGTTTCTGAAACAGCTACTGGTCCGGGGCGCATAGTTTAAGGAATTAGAGGCTTCAGGAATTGGAGGAGAGTATGGTCTCCACCCTTAAAATCCCTGCAAGAACTCTGGTGTGTACCTGGAAACTAGACAGTGGGTCTGGAGCAGGGTTTCTCAACCTGGGCGCCATTGATATTCAGGGCTGGATAGTTCTTGGTGGGGAGGGGTCCTGGGCATCACAGGGTGTTTTGCAGCTTCTGCGGTCTCTGCCTCCTAGATGCCGGGAGCATCCTCTATCCCCCATCCCCAGCAGTGACCACCAAAAATGTCAAAAGGGTTTATAAAAAGCTCTGGCGAATCCCAAAGGGAAACTCTTGGGCTCCGTTTGCAGTAATCTGTCAATGCACCTATATTCAGTCATCTCCCTGCCACCCCCCACCCCCCAGATGACACCCTCCTGTCTTCCTCAGCCTGTTGCCCTTGGTGATGGTTGTCAGGGTTTGAACAGTTGCTGAAGGAACACGGGAAAGGTGGTGATTAGGCTTGACGACAGCTTCCTGGATCCTTCCAGGTGAGCCATTCTGTCACTGATGTACTCATGCCAGGAACAGCATATCAAGAAACTCAGAAGGTTCCTTATATGCCAAGGATAAAGAAGAGAAAAAACAAATGACTCACCAGTTGTTGGATAACGCAAAATTATTTAAAATTTCCACCTTCTACAGAGAGCAGATCCAACCTACAATATTTTTCTTCCAGTTTTGTCTCTTTGAGCGTCATGTTTTGAAGACCATCTCATCTGTGCTTAACCTTGTCACAGGCAATTGAGCTGAGTTAGAGACACAGACATGCACCCTTGGCCCTTTTAGAACCTGGAAGACCTTAGGAGATCATGTAATTCTCCACTAATATTTGTAATTCATTGTAACGATGAGGATATTTAGTGTTATCATTTGAGGGGTACACACCTCAAATGTTCTCTGTTTCCTGGAAAGTCTCCCATTAGGAGTGCAGTTCTTGATAAAGCTGTTTTGCTATGCAGAGGGGGACATTTGGGGTGTTCATAATGATAATAATAGTAAAGACTTAGATGACTTCGATGACACTTGCTGTCCACCAGACAGTTTAGAAAGGATTTAGGTCCTTTAACTCCTCAGAATCTCACCACTGAGTCCCTTGTGCAGGTACTACTATCAACCCCGTTTAACAGGTAGAGAAGCTGAGGCAGACAGAAGCTAAGGAATCTATAGGAAGATAGCTTGTTAACTAACTAAAATCCAAACGCTTGTAATTATTTGCAAAACGAGTAGGTACACACTCTTCCAAACGGGGGCCATCTACCTAAGTGACAGGTGCTCATCCCTGTTCAAATGGCTATGGTTGTTTGAATGTTCTTCCCTTTCTCCCAATTACCTGACTTATCCCTAGGGGGAATGTCCTTCACATTGACCTAGGAGGCAATGGAGTAGCTGGATCTTAGATGCAGGAAAGGTTTCCTTAGACCCATGAATTCCCTGCCTCACTCCTGGGCTCTGTGGCCCCACCCTGGGGTAGAGAGAAAACTCCTTCACCCCGTGCTGCTGCCGATGGTCTCCAGATCAGCCTCAGGACCTTGGAATTTTCTTGCTCTGTCCAGGGCTCTGTAATTCTGTAGCAAACACCCTTGCTGAGCAGATACCCCACCCTCATTAGCTGTCTTAGTCCCTTTGGGCTGCTCTAACAGCATGCCACAGGCTGGGGGGCTGATGAACAACAGACATCTTTTTCTCACAGGCCTGGAGACCGGAAATCTGAGATCAGGGCGCCAGCATGGTCCAGGGGTGGGGGTGGGGCTCTTCTGGATGGCAGAAGGGGACAAGGGAGCTTCTGGGGTCTCCTTTTATAAGGGCACTAGTCCCATCATGAGGACCCCACCCTTAAGACCTAAGCATTTCCCAAAGGCCCCCGCCTCGTAATGCTGTCTCATTAGGGGTTAGGATTTTTCAACGTGAAATTGCAGGGGTGGGGGACACAAATTTCAGATCATAGGATCAGAGGGTAGCTCCTCTCCTTCTTTTAGGAACTGCTCATTCCCCGCTACATTTGAGTCACCCTGGATGGCGCTGGGGTTTTTCTTGCACAGCATTCTCTCATGAGCATTTCCTAGGATCGATCTAGAGGCTAAGCTGGCCAGGACTATTCACAGCCCTCCCCAGTCCCTTTGTCTGTCTGTCTGTGTGTCTGTCTGTTTTGAACTGGGTCTGGTAAAGAGGGTCACATGCTTCTCCAGGAGTAAAATTTATGAGCTGCTCATAAATTCAGCTCTTAAAAGCCATGCTCTCTGCCCAAAAGAGGGAGCTGGTCCCCACTAAAAGAGAATGACATGGGCACAATAAGGACACAAACAAGTGTCAGGGGAAAAGAATCCGGGCAAGACTCCAGTCCTTCATTCCAGTTTCTGAAGCTGGTGGCGTCCATGCGCTTCCCATGATTTACTGGCCCGTGATCCCAGTGGTTTCCAGCCACACATAGTCCGGACTCCATGGGACACTTGGCAGTGTCCGGAGATGATGTGGTTGTCACAGTTGGCAAAGGAGACTTGTAGCAGTTGGAGGTCAGAGATTCAGCTGAACATCCTATGATGCACAAGATGCACCATTCTCCCACCCCACCCCCCCAAAAAGAATTATCCAGCAAAAAATGTCAGTAGTGCCCGGTTGGGAAACCCTGAATGACCTTTTTAATTCCAAGGGCTGATCTATTCCCCTCACTTTCCCTAGGTCACTTGAAGGTAGGTGCTTTTCACTTGCAACCAAGTGTCTTGATGAATACAGTCCTATCCGTTATGATTGATCACTTACATTCTCTCTCCTTCCTACAGAAGTTGTATGGGTCAGAGGTGTGCATTGCTGCCCCCCCGCCCCCGCACTTGACAGATGAGGGAAAGGCATACAAAGAACTGAGTTGAAGAATATTCACAGACAGCGAGCGCCAGAGCTGTGGTTTTAACTCAGGTCCACTGACTTCACCTGTTCTCCTATCCTGCATGGCGTTTCTCAGGAGCCCTGAATCCCTGCCCCATGAACTTTTTGGAAATTCCAGGTTCTCTGTTTACTGCCCTGTGCAGGTATGACTGGTCCTCATGTCAGTACTGGGGTGCTCAGCCCCCATCCAGGAGGATGCCTGGTTCCTACTGGCCTCTCTTCCTCCCCTTGTCCTGGACAAATTGAGTCGTGAAAAATAGCCCTAGTGCACAAGGGAAAGGTTGTGGTCAAAAAACATCCCTTTCCTGAATAAACCAACAGAACCCTTGTGCACTGTAGGTAGCAACGTAGAACGTGGCCACTATGAAAAACAGTATGGTGGTGGGTCCTCCAAAATTTAAAGGTAGAACTATTCTAAGATCCAGCAATCCCAATTCTGAGTATACATCCAAAAGAATTGATAGCCACTAGGTGGCCAGGAGGTGATAGGTCAGTAGCCAAATAGGTGGAAAGGACCCAAATGTCCATTAGCTGATGAATAGGTAAACGAAATGGGGTCTGTCCATAAAATGGAATGTTATCAGCCTCAACAAGGAAGGAAATCCAGCTATATGCTATAGTATGGATGAACCTTGAGAACGTATTTCGGAGTGAGAAAAGCCAGTCACAAAATGACAAATACCGTATGATTCCAGTGATGTGAGGTTCCTGGATTAGTCAGATATATTGAGACAAGGTAGGATGGTGGGAGCCAAGGGCTGGGAGTGGGGGAATGCAGAGAGGCTATCTGATGGGGACAGAGTTTCAGTTCTGCAAGATGAAGGGCATTCTGGAGGTGGGTGGTGGTGCAAGTGCACTTGCAAATAAGATGGTAACTTATATGTTATGCATTTTTGCCATAGTTTTTTAAAAAAAATCATTCCTCTTGAAAGAAAGGGCTTGGCAGGAAGAGAAAAGCTCGACTCAGCTGAGCTAAAAGGCAAGAGTGCTAGAGTCCCAATGAAAATGGAACACAGGTCTTCTTGCAGTCTCTGAGTCTTTCTCAGGAAGATGCTCCTGGGCTCTGTTATTCTCTGCCCCCTCCTCTGCCTTTTTGCTGGAACCTCCTCCTGCATAACCCCAGGAGGTGTCATTCACACTTTAGATGAATTATGCCCTGCCCAGGAGATATGCGATGGTTTTGTGGCTACATCTTATTTTCCTAGTGGGGGTCAGTTATTGCAAATCCTCCCTCCTTGAAGCCTGCCCCCCCCAGAGCACATCTGGCCACCTACAGTGGGAAGCCCCCACCCAGCCTCCTTTTATGTGATTCTCCACCATCTCTGCTCCCTGTCTTGCCAGAAGATCCTCTACACTGTTCCACAGAATCCTGGCCCTCCATTGGTTCTTCCTAAATGATTTCTCCAAGCTGCAGAGTCTTGTGGAGACAAACTGTGCCTGCACCACACCCCCTCAGGTCCCAGCACCTCAGCAGGCAGGTAATCCAGCTGCGGTCCTCCTGACAGTGCAAACCTCACCTGTCACCTGGATCTCAAGATGATCGCTAGGGTGTGAAGCCCAGAAAGGAATCCCTGTCTGGAAGTACACACAGCTGTAGTTCCCGGCATCACTGACTGTCACAGTCTGGAGGGAGAAGTCCGTCTCCTTCCCTGCAGGACTCTGGACCCGTATGGGCTCTGCTGCCCCCGCCTTCAGTAGAGCGAACATTACAGGCGCGAAAATATTGTCTGGCCTCTGGCACTGCAGGGTCACAGTGTCTCCTGCATTCACCTCCCCCCTTGGGTGGGCTTGGAGGGAAGGTTTTGTTAAATCTCCTGGAAGAGAAGGAGGGCTCCAAGGTCATGGGGAGAAGCCCGGGGTCCCCCACCCTCCCTTGTTCTCCTGGCAGGGGTTCCCGCCAAGTGGGCGAAAATGACAGATCCCTGGTCTCACCCTCTTTCCACTCTGACTGTGGGAAGATTTCCCCAACAAGCCCTGGATGAAGCTGAGCCAGGTCATTCTGTTCTGTGTTTCTCCATCTCCCCTCGTTCCCTCCCTCCCTCGGGTTCCTCCCGCACACCTGTCCCTGCAAGACCGTATGTCCCTCCGAGGCACCTCCTCACCTGTCACCAGCAGTAGGAGGACGTCACTGGGCCGCGAACTTACGTACGGGCTCCCTAGTCTGTAGTACTCACAGCTGTACTCTCCAGCATTGTCGGTTTTTAGGTCAGTGAGGTGAAATTCAGCCAGGCCCTCTGTGGAAGCCCGTGATTGCACGGACTGCAGTGGAACTTTTCCCTTTCTGAGAACAAAGTTGACATTCTTGGTAGACGTTTGGCACTGCAGTGTCACATTACTCTCGCGAGGCACCACCGAGCTGGGCCAGGCCCTGAGGGAGGGCTTGGGAAGGGGCTCTGGAAGGAAGCAGATTTGGGGACAGGATTTGGTGCCCTCGTCTGCTGTCAGGAAGCCCCTTGAAGGAAAGAGACAGGACACGGGGACTTTGGAGTGAAGGGGAGGGAGGGTCTGACTGAAGGAACTCACCGTCAGTTGTCCTGCTTCCTTGGCCGGCACACAGCCCTGCGGGAGAACCGTCCATGAGACCTGAGCACCTGCCTGGAACCCCATCCCAAGGGGCCTCCCCAGGGGCTGCCGCTGAGCCCTGTCATCACGCTCAGTGGCAGTCCCAGCCTCCTGCTGGAGAACCCATCTGGCATGGGTGCTGATTTGCCCCTTATGTTAATTTCCTAGGGCTGCTGGTGTCACAAATTGTCACAAGTCTAGTGGCTCGTGATGACACAGATTTATTATCTTGCCATTCCATGGGTTAGAAAAATCCAACAACACAAGTCCCACTGGCTCAAACCAGGGTGTCTTCGGGGCTGTGTTCCTTCTGGGGGCTCTAGATGACAACCCATTTCCTGGCCTTTTCCAACTTCTAGAGGCGCCTGCACCCCTTGGTAGTGGCCTTTTCCTCTGGCTCTAAAACTAGGAATGGTTGGTGCATTGACACCCTCTTCTGCCTCTTCTGCTACCCTGGGGGTCGTGTGGTTGGTCACACTGTGACCACCCAGATAATCCAGAAGAAGCTCCCTACTTTAAGACCAACTGATAAGCAACTTTAATCCCTCCTGCCACCTTGCATTTCCTTTGCCACATAAAGGAACATATACACAGCTCCTGGGAGTCAAGACATGGACATCCTCGGGGGTCTACCACAGTCTCTGTCATTTCTCACATTGTCCCACTTCACCGTCCCAGGGTCTTCCCTCCTCACAATGGCCCCAGGACTTTGGATGGCTTTGCCATTTTGCCTCAGAACCTAATGATTTCCCCCACCACCCATCCTTTATCCATCCACCTTTTTCATCTGTTGTATCCTGTGATGTCATCTCTAGATTTGATGGTGAAGAGAGGATAAGGGACACTACACTTGGCTCCTGATCATCCCTATTACCCTAAATGTGTCACTCGGGGTGTCTCCTGAGCATGTCAGTATTGTAGAGGGCACAGGACCCACCCTTCCCCTGGTGCCATGGCTTCTTGAGTGTGAGAGAAATCTTAATAATGACAAAAACCATTTGGCTGGGAGGAAAAGAAACCACTTAGGTTTTAAAGACACCTATTATTCCTGAGGCTCTTGGGTTCATAAGAGATCTGGAATCACTAGAATTTAAGCCCCTTGAGGGCAGAGAATACATCCTCACTACCTAGAATGCAGCATGGACTTTGGCAGATGTTCAACAAATACATGTTGACCAATGGAGTTGGTCTTATGTAAAGAGAGTCATTTGCAAAGATTTCTGAAATAATGATTTCAGAAATAATGATTTCCCAAATTCCATCCTAATGCAACAGCATAACCATCCGTGTCAACTGAGAGCAGGGGAAGGAGGTGGGGAGATCCCTACCCTATGATAAGGGACATCTAGCTGCTGAGAATGCAGTCCTTTGCATGGAGAAGCTTCTGTCTTTCCTTGGGGAATGGCCTAAATGCATCCCTGACATTATGGTTGGCCATAAGTCCTCTCCTTGGTGCCCCGGAGGAAATCTCAAAAATCTAAGATTGGTATTGCCTGGAAGGGTGAGGAATATGTTCCCAGGTGGCCTTCCTTTCAGATCTAGACCAACTGATCCTAAGAAAAGTGAGTTCATACAGTGTTTATCTTTCTGTCTCTGACTTGTTTCACTTTGTGTAATACCCTCAAGGTCCATCCATGTTGTCACAAATGGTGGGATTTCCTTCCTCACAGCTGAATAATATCCCATTATACATGCAGACCACATCTTCTGTAACCATCTGTCCATGGATGTACACTTAGGTCATTTCCATGCCTTGGCTGCTGTGAATAATGCTGCAGTGAACATGGGGATGCAGACATCCCTTCAATTTCATGTTTTCATTTCCTTTAGATCTATAACCCCAAAGTGGGGTTGATGATCATATGGTAGTTCTACTTTTAGCTTTTTAAAAAATTATTATTAGAAAGAGAGAGAGCACGAGCATGTGGGGGAGGGGCAGAGAGAGAATCCCAAGTAGGCTCCACACTCAGTGAGGAGCCCAACCTAGGACTCAGTCTCACGACCCTGAGATCATGACCTGAGCCAAAATCAAGAGTTAGATGCCCAACCGACTGAGCCACCCAGGCGCCCCTATTTTTAACTTTTTGAGGAACCTTCATACTGTCTTCTGCCGTGACTGCACCAGTTTGCATTCCCACCAACAGTGCGTGAGTCCCTGGTCTCTATGTCTTCACCAACACCTCTTGTTTTCTTTTCTTTTTTTTTTTTTTAAAGATTTTATTTATTTATTTATTTGAGAGAGAGAATGAGAGATAGAGAGCACGAGAGGGAAGAGGGTCAGAGGGAGAAGCAGACTCCCCACTGAGCAGGGAGCCTGATGCGGGACTCGATCCCGGGACTCCAGGATCATGACCTGAGCTGAAAGCAGTCGCTTAACCAACTGAGCCACCCAGGCGCCCAACACCTCTTGTTTTCTTGATGAGAACCATTCTGACAGGTGTTGAACGGTAGGTTACAAAGACCATGCAACCCCCAGAGCCTGTCTATCAGGCCCTTTACAGGAGAAGGTTGCTGGCACCTACTAAGATCATTGGATCCACTGCTCATTTACCTTCTTGAGGTTTTTCTAACCATGACTCCCTTCATCCACCCTCCAGACATTTCCACCTCCTTAGGTCCAAATTAGGACCTTTTAATTCCTTCATATGGCCCAATAGAAAATTATGGTCTTTGGCACTGTACAGACCAGATTTTGAATTCACCTTCTCTGCTTAGCAGCAGAGTGACCTTGGCATGTACTTCAGCTGTGACTTTCAGATTCCTTGAATGCAGTATGGGGAAGAAAATTATTTGGGAGACTTTCTCTAAGAGATGTAAGATGACTTCAGGTCAATGACAGGAGAGGAAGTGTCACTGAGCCTGTGTGAGAAAGTCTGTCTTCTCGGTTCCTGGCACTGTCTCGGATCCCATGGAAGAATACCACAGCCGAGTGCTAGATTGAAGCCGGCTTCCTGCATTCACTGCTACCTCTCAGAGGCAGGACCTGGGGAAACTGTGGCCCAGAGGTGAACAGGGTCTGTTTTTGATGAGGGACACTGATTTTCCATTAATAGAAGTATTTTACAGATTTTCTTTTAAAATAGAGTTGAGTACAAAAATAATAATACAAAAACCTGGGGAATTTGAAGAGGAAGATCACATAGGAAAGAGTACAAATGTCACATACATAGGGAAAATGTCATGGGGAAGTTCAGGGGTGACTGAGTTTGGGGAAACAGGAAAATGTGTGTAAAGCACCCAACATGTCCCTTGTACGTAATTTGTATTCAGGAAATGGAAGGTTCTAGTCTGTGTTTATTCACCCCATGCCATTACCCGCCCCACAGGCCCCACCAGCTCCAGCTGCTGCCGCAGCCCAGCCCCGCCCATCCAGTGCCTGCCCTCCTCCATGACTTACCAGTGCAGAGCAGAGCCAAGAGTTGGGGCATCATGGTGGCACCCACAAGCCTCTTCCAAGGATCTTCCTTCAGTTTTGTTGTTGGTGAGAAGCCAAGATGTCCTCTTGACTCCAGGACGTGCAGGAACAGCTTTGCCCCTGGCATACCCAGAGTTTCTGTCTTCTAGTCTCTATCAGGAAATGACTATTGCAACACACTCTCAAACCACTTCCTACGGGCTTGATGCACTGAGTCCTCCCAAAAGTCCAGAGGTCAGCCACCCACTTCTAAGACATAGCCATGAATATGCAGAGCATGCGAGACACTGCTAACCGGACTTCAATCACCATTGTCCCCTTCTGCACTGTGACAGCAAATACCTGGGCTCCAGCGATCCAGAATAAGAATACATTTCCCTCGGGGCGCCTGGGTGGCTCAGTTGGTTGAGCATCTGACTCTTGGGTTCAGCTCAGGTCGTGATTTCAGGGTCATGAGATGGAGCCCCACATTGGGCTCTGCACTCCATGGGGAGTCTGATTCTCTCCCTCTTCCTCTGCCCACCCCCTCAAATAAAATAAAATCTTTTTAAAAAACCCACAATGTTTCTCTCCCTCAGGGAACTGTGGGTCCTTTTGGTCACAGGATGTGAGCAAAGTGACGTGCACAACTTCTGGGTTATGTCCCAGGGATGCTGAGGGCAGGAATGGGGTCAGAGGTGAGGGCAAAGAGGTGGGAAGTCATAGGGCATCAGAGTGGTGGGGATCTGGGGGAATGAGACAGCAGGCCCTATAAAGAGAAGGTAAGACAGAAGAACCCTCACTGGCAGGCAGCATAGCAGAAAAGGAATTTGAAGAAGAGAAATGTCTGTGGTGGGTTGTAAGTGGTTTGTTGTGGGGACGCAATGTGAACTATCTCCTCAGTGTAATCTCTTCTGTGAAATCTGTCATTAGATCTCTGGCGGAAGAGGGCTCTTCAGGAGAACTTAGGGAGCTGTGTTCCATATCTGGTTGAGGTGTAGACAGAACAAGAGACAACCCAGGCAGGGGCTGATGTGCACATGGAAAAATCTAGAAGGTAAATCTAGTTTATTTACAGTGTTATTCTCTGAGTAGTAGAATTGTGCTGGATATTTTTTGTTCCTTTTGCTTATCTGTGCTTTCTAAATGGGCTGAAATTGATATGTTAATTTATCCCTTTATATGTTATTGAAACTTAAGCCTTTAGAAATTTTAAGTGAGGTGCTGTGGGATGCAAAAAACTCAAAGTTTAAAAGAGGAGTGAACTCTTGTAAAGCTTAGAATTTGGGACTGCTGAATTTAGGGACAGATAGAAGGACTTCCACATAAACATGCAGATGGGACATACACATTTCTTTCCAAAACCTCATTGAAAGACAATTAGGGGATTTATTAGGAGGACATAAGCTAAGAAGGAAAAAAGGCAATGAGAGAGGAGCAAATGTAGGACGAGAAATGTTGATACAATTATGGAAACTGAAAAACAAGCACGTGTGTGCCTTTAGTGGGGCGCCAAGAAGCAAAGTCACATCCCCTGACTCTGGAGTTGCATAGAGGCTCAAAAACTGAATCAAATTAATTACCATCCAGCAATTCCACTTATGGGTATATTTTCAGAAGAATTGAAAATAGAGTCTTAAAGAGATACTTGTACATCCATGTTCTCATGAGCATTATTCACAGTAGATGAGGTGGAAACAACCCAAGTGTCCACTGACGAATGAACAGACAAACAAAATGTGGTCTGTAGACACCATGGAATATTTTTCAGCCTCCGAAAGGAAGGACATTCTGACACCTGCCACAATGTGGGTGAACCTCAAGGACATTACGCTCAAGGAAATGAGCCAGACACAAAAAGACAAATACTGTATGAGTCACTTCTATGAGTTCCCTAGAGCAGTCAGATTTATAGAGACAGAAGGCAGATGGTGGAGCCAGGGGCTGGAGGAGGGGAAGTCCTGGTTTAATGGGCAGAGATGTGCAGGATGAGGAGCTCTGTGGATGGTGGTGGCGGCGGTACAACAGTGTCAATGTACTTAACATTGCGGAACCATGCATCTAAAAATGGTTAAGATGGTACATGTTATGTGTAGTTTACCACAGTGTTTAAAAAGGAAAGTTTCCAGGGCACCTAGGTGGCTCAGTCTGTTAAGTGTCTGCCTTCAGCTCAGATCATGATCTCAGGGTCCTGGGATTGAGCCCAGTGTTGGTCTCCCCACTGAGCGGGGAATCTGCTTCTCCCTCTGCCTCTGTCTCTCCCTGGCTCATGTGCTCGTGTGGGCTCTTCTTTGTCTCAAGTAAAAAAAAAAAAAATCGTAAAAAAGAAATGGACTTGTACCAGATTATGGTTGCCTTTAGGGTTAGAGAAGTGGATCAGGGTCATGCTTATGCCTGATAGTAGATTTATTGCTTTGGCTATTTTGGGGTCTTTGTGGTTCCATTTAAATTTTAGTATTATTTGTTCTGGTTCTGTGAAAAATGCTGTTGATAGTTTGATAGGGATCACACTGAATCTGTAGATTGCTTTGGGTAGTACGGACATTTTATCAGTATTAATTCTTCTAATCCATAAGCATGGAATGCCTTTCCATTTCTTCAACTTCTTTCATCAATGTTTTATAGTTTTCAGGGTACAGGTCTTTCACCTCCTTGATTAAATTTATTCCTAGGTATTTTATTCTTTTTGGTGCAATTCTAAATGGATTGTTTTCTTAGTTTTCTCTTTCTGCTACTTTGTCATTAATGTATATAGAAATGCTACCAATCTTTGGATATTAATTTTACATCTTGCAACTGTACTGAATTCATTTATTACTTCTAATAGTTTTTTGGTGGAGTCTTTAGGGTTTTCTATATGCAATATCATGTCATCTGCAAATAGTGAAAATTTAACTTCTTCCTTACCAGTTAGGTGCCTCTTACTTCTGTTTCTTGTCTGTTTGCTATGATTAGGACTTCTAGCACAATGTTGAATAAAAGTGGTGAGAATGGACATCCTTGTCTTGTTCCTGATCTAAGAGACTTGAAACCATAAAAATCCTGGAAAAAAACACAGGCAGTAATTTCCCTGACATCAGTCATAGCAGCATTTTTCTAGATATGTCTCCTAAGGCAAAGGAAAAAGGCTAAAATAAACTATTGAAACTACATCAAAATAAAGATAAAGAGCTTTTGCACAGCAAAGGAAACCATCAACAAGACAAAAAGGCAACCTACTGAATGGGAGAAAAGATTTGCAAATGATATATCAGATAAGGAATTAATACTCAAAGTATATAAAGAATTATACAACACAACACCAGAAAAAACACAAACAATCCAATTAAAAAATGGGGGGATGATCTGAATAGATGTTCTTCCAAAGAAGACATACGGATGGTCAACAGACACATGAAAAGATGATCAACATCACTAATCATCAGGGAAATGCAAATCAAAACCACAATGAGGTACCTGTCAGAATGGTTAAAATTAAAAAAAAAAAAAGAGAGAGAAATAAAGTATTGACAAGGGTGGAGAAAAGGGAACCTTCTTGCACTCTTGGTGGGAATGCAAACCGGTACAGCCACAGTATGGAGGGTCCTCAAAAAATTAAAAATAGAAATACTTGGGGCGCCTGGGTGGCTCAGTCGTTAAGCGTCTGCCTTCGGCTCAGGTCATGGTCCCAGGGTCCTGGGATCGAGCCCCGCATCGGGCTCCCTGCTCTGCGGGAAGCCTGCTTCTCCCTCTCCCACTCCCCCTGCTTCTGTTCCCTCTCTCACTGTGTGTCTGTCAAATAAATAAAATCTTAAAAAAAAAAAAAAACAGAAATACTTTATGATCCAGTAATTCCACTACTGGGTGTTTATCCAAGAAAATGAAAACTTTAATTCAAAAAGATATATACATCCTTATGTTCATTGCAGCATTATTTACAATAGTCAAGATATGGAAGCAACCCAAGTCCATCAGTAGATGAATGGATAAGGAAGAAGTAACGCACACACACACACACACACACAGGAATATTACGCACACACACACACACACAC